TTCCACAACTCTGACAGGCAACTATAATTATCTTTATGTATGTAAAAAGTATAAAAAGCATGGGGAAAAGTGCAACATTAAATAGAACAACCATACCATATATAGATAGTTCTTTTGAAGTTACACAATAAAGATGGTTTACAGAATTGTTACAAAATATACCTTTCAAAGTAAAGTTACAGAGTGGTGTAATAGAATTTCTTAGTACTGGCACTACAATCTGAATAGCAGGTAAAAACCAGGACAAAATCAGGAAAATACTGACTCTTGTTCTTCTCATGATAGTTGGATATTGCAGAGGTTTACAAATAGACACATATCTGTCATAAGCCATGGCTGACAGCAGTAAGAATTCTGAACTGCTTAAAACATAAAACATGAATAATTGAAAAAGACAGGCGTGATACAAAATAATCTGTTTTTCAGATAAGAAGTCAATCAAAAGCTTTGGGTAGATCACAGTGCTCAAAAGAATAGAGTTCACTAACAAAGCAGCAATGAAAATGTACATAGGCTCATGAAGGCTTTTTTGAACTATGATGACCCACACAATAGTGGAATTGCTGCAAATTATTAGAACGTATACCATAAACATAATTACAAAATAAATATATCTGTATTTCTCCACTTCCACATGACCACCAAAAGTTATATATGTTATATTCATTTCAGCATTCATGAAAATCAGATATTATAAACTAAAATTTTAAACAGGCAGAATGTTTAAAAGTAGTACATATAAAATATTATTATTCAAAGATACTTATACTTGGTGTGTGTTCATCTTTAGAAAGTGAACTGTTCAAGTCAGACCAAATATATGATGAAATGAAACTTCAAGCTCCATATATCTCATTCAACTCTCCACAAAGACCTATTACCATATTCAACCTCTGGAGACATAAGCCGACATTGGTTAGCCCTTACTTACACGGGTACATTTTCCGGCTCCTCCTCTTTTATTACATACATACGTGGGTATTAATTGAAAAACAAATTTAAAGGAAGAAAAAATTAGTTAACCGGCAGAAATGATAATAAAATAACAGCAAATATAGTCCTATATTTGAATATGTAATTCTGTTCAGGCTAAGACAAATTAATGTAGATCGACATCATGCACACAGCAATGCAATGTGGGGAGACAAAATAGTTAATGCACTTTAAGATAATTTCTGTTTCTGTTTTCTTTTTTCCTATTTCCGTTGTCGTTTTTCCTATTTCTGTTTTCTTTCTTCCTATTTCCATTGTGTTTTGTGTGCTTTTGCAGCGTTTTTTCTTATTGCTGGTGTTTTCTTAAGTTGCAGTCCGTTTGGCCTCTCAGGGCCACCGTAACAATTCCATAATTTACACAAATTTACTTTAGAGAATATAATTATTTGACAAATTGATAGAACAGTGAGGGTTCTTTTTAAAACACAACCAATTTTTCCAATTATTTATTCCAATTCAAGTCTTTCAAGTCCAATAAATAGCTTGAAATGATACAAAGGTAAGTGATGAACTCCAAGAGGTTAAAAAAAAGGTAGGATTTCTCAAAATCCTGTGCTGCAGAAAGTAGTGTGTTGAACAAAAAAGGTGAGAAAAAGGCAATTAACAGTGGAAGAGAGACAAACCAGCATAACACTTAAAAATTTAGGTCTTTCCTGCAAAGAAATTGCAAAGAAAGTCAAGGTGCCAGTAAGTACGGTTTCCTTCACCGTCAAAAGGCACTCAGAAATTGGGGCAAACTCTGACAGGAAGAGGTCAAGCAGACCCCAAACCACAACTGAATCAGAGGACAAGTTCCCTAGAGTTAACAGCTTGCATGATAAGTGGTTCAATGGACAATAGCTTCAAGCACAGCTTAGTAGTAAGCTGTAATAGTAAGCATGTCTCCATTTCAACTGTGAAGAGAGGACTTCGAGCGGCAGGTTTGACAGGACTAGCTGCAGCCAAAAAGCCATTGCTAAGACGTCAGAATAAGACAAAGAGGCTTGCCTGGGCCATGAAGCACCACAATCGGACTACTGAAG